CAAAACATTTTAAAAAAAAAAAAAAAAAAAAAAAAAAAAAAAGAGTTGAACCCAATCTTGAGGGTCCCCCACCGCCCCGTCTCTGGAGCATCGTGAAAGAAGTAAATCGCAGAATATGTTCTGGCAGGCCAGGGAACAAGAGTTTGTCTGTACACTAGTACCCACAAAGAGTCCAATTCCATGTTTCAGGAATCGAAACCCTCACACTGTGGCTGCCAGCAAGATTGAGACTACCTCACTTCTGTCTTTTGCACCATTGGACTATGCCCCGAAGGGTCCATAACAGTTCTCAATTTCAGCATTAAGAGCATGTTTGGCTAATCTTAATAAGTCAGCTACAAGTAAATTTGTAAATCCCAAAATAAATAATTTTTTATTAGTAAAAGTTTAAAATGCGAAGGTTAATCGTTACTTCAACCAGTCCCGTGTCATTTCAACCAATGTAATGAACCTGCAAATATAGACACGGTGGTTGGATCAATGAAAGGAGCTCTTCGATACTTCAAATTTAACCTTGTGTGTAGAAGTCAATACAACATGCGTTTTGTTTATTTTTATTTATTTTTTGAAGTCATTTGTTTTTTATTTTAACAGTAAAGTAGAGTAAGAATTGCTTTAAAAAAAATTAACTATTTCACCTAAAAGTAAAAAAGAAAAAGCAAATTATCCAAATGTGTTTATAAAAAAATAATTAATTAAAAGTAGCTTTATTTTATTTTACAAAAATGGGTGTATACGGTATATTACACCCCCCTCACATGGAGGGGGCCCATGTGAGAGGAGTATAATGCTATGTGTACACTATTATGTACACATAGCATTTTCCTTTATTTTAAGTAGCATATCATCTTCGTGAAAAACAAAACTTGAATGGTTAGAACATAAAGTCCAACTACAGAATTTTTTTCTTTTAATTACTTCCATGATCCGTGCCTCATTTTTTATGTAGGCTTTTTTTTTTATTTACTAATGACCACCCAACTTTATACTTAGGGTGCGATTAATTGCAAGCATGAAAATAAAATAAATTTTACGTAATTCAATTGTCTAGAACTTATTTTTATGAAAATTATCAATTAAATATGTTTGATTAATTGAATTTTCAACTGAGATAATATTATACTTATTCCTTTTTTTGTTGGTGTGTAAATGAGAGAGGGAGTGAGTGAATTCCCTGAAACATAAAATCTTATTCCTTGTAAAGAATATATTTTTCTTGAACTTGATATAAATATGGTTACGTGACTAAAAGTATGAAAATATTTTTCATAAAAAAAATGGCAATCAAACAGCAAAAAAATAGGGAATTGGATGAAAAAAAAATACATTTTTAATGAAAAATATTGAAAATCAAACGAGCACTTAGTGTCACTATAGTCATCCAATTTGATTTTATTTTATCATGGTCACCCAACTTTATACTTCGTGTCATCATAACTACCTAATTTGATTTTATTTAATTATGGCTATTCAATTTTATAAAACGTTTCACCATGTCCATCCAATTTCTTTTCACAATTTTTACTAATTTTAAAATATGTGAAATGATAACTTTGCATTATACGAGGGTGTTTGAGCCCCGTTCTTATAAAAAACGCATTTTTGAAAAGTAGATTGATGAAAAATGTGTGATTGAAAAGAAGAGAGGGAAAAACGTATTTTGGAGAAAATGGAAATCAAACGAAGCCTACATAAAAAATGAATTTAAAAAACAAAAATAAAAGTTTTTTTTTTAAATAAGTTTTTATTTTATTTTTTCTAAGTAATTTTTTTAAATAAAGTTTTTATTTTATTTAAATAAAAATCTTTTAAAATAAGTTTCTATTTTTTTTTTTTTTTAAGTGACTTTCTTGAAAATAATTTTTTGTTTTATTTTATTTTTTTAAGTAACGTTTTTTAAAATAAATTTTTATTTTACTTTATCTTTTATTTTAAAACCTTTTTTTAAACAAAAAATATAAGTTTTTATTTTATTTTTTAATTAACTATTTTAAAAATAAGTTTTTGTTTTATTTTTTTAAGTAATTTTTTTTAAATAAGTTCATATTTTATTTAATTTTTTTAGAATAAAGTTGCGTGGCCTTCGGTGGACTTTATCCCTTGTAGCTCGATGTGTGAGAGGAAGGGCCAACGCTCATTTAATGCACGGACCCCACGCCAAGCAAAAGGACTGTACACCAACACACCGAGCTATACATATAGCAGGGCCGTCTATTCTTTACCCAATTTCTCATTGACCTAGACCTATTGTTGAACATACTTCCAGTACACCTTTTCGTTGAATGGTCAGGCTCAGATAGACATGTTCACATAGGAAGCACTTAGGTGACATCTAGGAGTTACATGATTGTGTTCTCTTACCTTTATTCTAGTTAGTTGGTTGTGAGTCACTCATTAATAGTTTGAGTCCCATTATTTGTAGATTATAATGAGATAAATAGTATTTATTTGAAAAATGAGTGATTGAAAAGTTTTTTATTTACGTATAATATTATTCTATTGAAAATTGTGTGGTTAAATGTAAGAGAGAGAAAAATTTAATTTAATATAATGAGAAATAATGGTGCTCAAACGGGGCTAATGCATAATTGTTTCAAACGAGGCAATTTAATGTGATATTTAATTGAATTCGTTTATTCTTTCTGACAATTTAAAATTTAGATTTTGTTTGTCTTCTTTTATTTCACATTTTTATCACATTATTTTTTCTACAGTACTCATTTTCAATCTCACATTCTTTATTAAAATAATATTACACGTAAATAAAAAAATTCTTTCTTTTTCAACCACACATTTCAACATCAATCACTATTTCATAATACATTACTCACAAATAATAAGACACAAACAAGCACTTGGATGGTTCAACGTAGCATTTAAGTACAAAGCATCTTGATAGTATTCCAATGACACTCAAATTGACAAGCCTTATCTCTACCATAGTTGTGGCATGTAAATCACATATTCATTCAAGAGAGTACTTGGGGATATAGAAAGTGAAGTCCCTTATATCCCATGCGTTTCTTTTTGAAGGGCACGTGCTTGATACAATTTATTTGATATATACACTTATTTACCAATTAATTAACGTGTCGTGTCGTGTCATGTCATCGATACTCATTAGATCATTTCTACGATATATATCTCTATGTCTTATTTATCTTTTCATACCATGGAACATAAGAAAATACAAAACAATAAAGAAATTGATTGCAACAAAACTGGAACAGCCTGTTGAATTCCACCAACTACTCCCACCAAATATACTCGGCCAACTGGCCGAACGACTTTTTATTTTTCAACTGTTTAAAATAATAAGTTGAAAAATATTTCTTTCTCAACAAACATTTGAGGGGTCACAACTTGGCTGAGAATAAACTTACTTTGTCAGCCGTTTCTAGCACACGAAAGTCACAAACTGACCAACCAAATAAACATTCTTTGCTTCTTCCTAAAGTAAAAAGGTTTTTTGGCTACCCACTCAATCTCAATCCAAGTCATCGTTAAAAACTTTTGACTTCGATTTTTTTTTTCTTGATCTCCCACTCCTTACTTCTGACTTTCAATACATGAAAATGCATCACAACTCTAATGAGCAATTAATTAAGAAGCTATATCACATAAACTGCTGATGGATCGTGATACAGACATTTTCCAACATATTCCAAGCATAATAATCCCCGAGCCCTTTGGTGGACCTTTTTCACAATTTGAAGCTCACATATGCTTCGGATACTAATGAATCCTCAGGATAGACCCTATGCCCAATCACATTTATCCAACTAAGGATCCCAAAACACATGGATATCTACAAGAATATAACTCGAGCAAATCCCCTTGAGCATCTCGACTACCATCCTGTTCATGCTAAGGAGAGACCAATCTCCTAAGAACTCTGATCTAACACAAACGCTTCAACCCACATCTCTTGAACCCAAGACAAACCTCCTGGAGATAGTAATTGATCTTCTAATCATTGTATAATTATAACACTACTTTCTTATAGGACTCTATCGAATAAGATCACCTAGCTAGTTGAATCCTATCAGAAAAGCACCACATACCTCTATAAATGCCGAACCTTGGACCATTGCACAGATACGTTTTCATTACTTCCAGCACATAACCTCACGCATATAATTTCCTTTCTAACTTAAGCGTCGGAGGGGCGACGAGAACATACCTCGTTGCCTTTGTTTGAGGTACCGGAAGACTATGATCGTGCTCATTCAAAGTTCTCAAGTTCGGTAAATCAACAGGTACGATTTTTTGTAGCATCAGATCGTATTAACCATTTTTTATGTATCAGCATAATCATGCATAAAAAATAAGTAATTCGAACGAAAAGTTGCCTGGCTTTATCCACAAATTCAATCTTACATTAATTAAAAGTATTTTGGCAAATTCGAACTCTATTCACAATACCTACCAAATTAATCAAATTTCAATACCAGGAGTTTAAGAAAGAAACTGTTAATGTCCTAAACCCCCTGAATCCATAACACACGAAAACAAAGGGGAAAAGAAACAAAACCAACGTTCGGATGTTAGCTAATACTATGATCACCAGCATTATTTTCGTCATCGTCAATTCCATCAAAAAAGGGGTCCTTGAGGAGATTAGCAGCTGATGGCCGAGCCCTAGGCTGAGCAAGACACTTCTCGATGAACTCCTTGACCTCGGGGTCCTTAACCTTGTTCATAGCTTGTGGCCTCACACCAGATGTCACCTTTTTGTATATCTTTGCAACATTGTCGCACTCGCTATATGGTAATTCAAGAGTTACCATCTCAAGCAAACACATTCCAAATGAATAGATATCTATCAGCTCGGTATAGTTCTCATCATATAACTCTGGTGCCATGAATTCGGGTGTCCCAAGTAATGAATGAGCCGAGTGGTTCTTCCCAACCGTTGCTGCCAAGCCCAAATCACCAATTTTCACCTATTTAGACAAACAAGGTGATAAAAATTACGAGTCATCAGAAAATCTGAAAAAAAAATAAAATAAAATAAAATAAAATAAAATAAAATAAAATTCTGTGCAGGACGAAAAGAATATAAAAACCCAAACGTTCATTTTCTTTACAACAACAACATCAACAAACAAATTAAGCCTTATTCCCAAAAATTGGATTGGCTACATGGAATTTTTTCGCCAATGTGCTATGTTCGTTGCTATTTAAAAGTTAAAAATAAAAAACAAAAGATATTATAACAAGATACAACATTGAAGCATAAATACTGCATATCAGTGTGTGTCATACATATCAACGCTTGATCTTGGCTAGTGCAGCAGAAGAAACGAGAAAGAATAATTTAATATGATCACAATTCATTTCACTTTTTCGAGTACTTCAAATCTTGATATACTATTTCTTCAGTTATACCTGACCAACATTGCCATTGATGAACACATTGCTACAATTTAGATCCCTATGAATGACACAAGGCTCGTGAGTATGTAAATAGTCCAATCCCTTCAGAATTTGCTTAGACCATTTCTTCAACGCCTTCATTGATACGTGCCTGTGCTTCTTTCTATACTCCCTCAAGTTCCCAGAAGTACACACCTCAGTAATGAAATTCAGCGTGTTTTTCTCCTCATCCCGCCAAACTGAGTACAACGTAATAATATTCTTGTTTTTCAATGTCCTCAGCAACCGAACCTCAGAGTACAACCGATTGATCATAGCGTCGTCTCCGAGGAAGCTTCTCAATTTGACTAGGTTCCAAGCCACCTCAATCCCTTCTTCTTGATCAAAGGCTCTATACACTTTTTTCACAGCCCCTGATCCGAGCAGCTCACCATACCGGCCATACCGGCCAGTAGGGTCAACCTCTACGAACGCCTCGCTATCTCGATCCACCAGATCAGAACCCATTCTAGGCATCTACATTAAAAACAGCAATAACAACAAACTAAGCCTTTTCTCAATAAATTTGGGCTCAACTCTATCTCAATAAAATCAAAGTAAACAAGGAACTCTAAGGAAAAGTACATTACAAACTCAGATAATGAAACTCTACTATTTCCCACGTGCCCACTTTACCAAAGAAATAACAATCGATTCTTTTCTCTTTTTTTGTCACCATAAATTAAGTACCTAATGTCTAAAATCAGATAATATGAATTTTCCACCATAATCGAGATCAAGAACAATATTTCCATTTACTAAAAAAGACTCAGATAATGAAACTCTACTATTTCCCACGTGCCCACTTTACCAAAGAAATAACAATCGATTCTTTTCTCTTTTTTTGTCACCATAAATTAAGTACCTAATGTCTAAAATCAGATAATATGAATTTTCCACCATAATCGAGATCAAGAACAATATTTCCATTTACTAAAAAAGAAAAAATTGAAAAAAAAAAAAAAAAAAAAATTATTGACCAAATAATAAATCGAAAAATACTGGGAAAAAAAGGATGGGAAGGAAGTTAGAATTTACCAAGAAATGGAACTGGGAAATCTTGAAATGATTTGCTTCTTCCCCTCCGAACAAATCAGTCCTTAAAGTATCCCAAAATTGGCGGAACAACAGGAGGTGCGGGAGACAATTAGGGTTTGAAGATTTTGTGAGTTATATAGGGTTTAGACCGTTTCCCAAATTGAAAAGTCATTCTTGGACTCGGATTGCGCAGATTGACTATGATTCAGGTAACTAGTAAATAAATGAGAACCAAAATTTGATCTTTATTTTCAAAATTTGAAGAGAATACGTTCACATTAATAAGCTCTTCTGCTACTATTTGATTATGATAAATGAAGGATCCTAGCTCCAATTTGAAATTTGAGAACAAGTGGCCGTGCCGAGCTTAGTGGGTCCACTATGGGTGGCTTATGGGGTCAGCATGACTCATTATTCTTCGTAGTTGAGCTGACCTTGTCCATTGGACTGAGTCCAAATTGCCGTGTCGAGTTGGTGGGACCAATACTTGTGGCTCATGGGTTCAGCACATGGCCGATTTTGCATAGAGACAAGCGAGATCTATGCCTCAAGCCCAACATTAGAGAGGGCCTCAAACTTAACTTCTTTCATTCATTTGTTCGTTTTTTATTTTTTATTTTTTTTGGGTAAATTACGTTTATTACAACTTTTTGTTAAAAACTCGATAAATTAGAGCAATTTCATTTCATTTGTAAATAAATCTTAATAATATTTTTCATTGTGGGAATTTCTTTTCCTTAGAAAATTAGGCTCATTTCAAATAGAACAAAAGGGGAAAACAGCTTGGGATTTCTTAAACTCATGTTACAGCAATTTCTAAATTCTACTCAACTTGTTCATCACATAGGCAGTATCCAATTTATTTGTTTAAAATAAAAGACAGTTGACTGTAATTAATGAATATCCAAAAACAAAAAGTGAAATCGAGTTCGTAGCGATATGAACTTCAGAATTTTGAGTTCTTGCTTAACATGGTAATCTAGTACAGATTGTTGTATACAGACAATAGTATGAGTAAATTTCTTTAAATAAAAAATAGGGATAATTGCAGCAAACCTTTAAAAATTTAGTAGACTTTTTTCAAACTTTTAATTTGTTGCAACCATTACCCCAAACCTTTTGAAACGTTGCGACGGAAGCCCTTTTGGATGGTTTCCATCCATAATCCAGTTAGTTGACCAAAATTTTAACTTTGACCACAGTTTTAATATTTTGAAAAGGGGTAAAAAAGTCACTTTCTATTTATAACATTAATTGAATAAATAAATCAGAAATAAAAAAAAATACACACACACACTGTCATATTCTTCCTCTCGTGTCACCCATCTCCACCTCAAATCCAAAGTCTACCCGACCACCGCCACCTACACATCCACCTTCATCCTAACTTGGCCAACGCTTAAGTTAAAGCAACAAGGAGAGCGAGGGAGATGGAATTGAATGTGAGGGAGAGGAAGGAGCTAAAGAAGAAGGTTATTTGAGTAAAAAATAGGGTAAACCAGACTATGAAGAACGAATCAGGGTTAAAATTGATAGAATCAAAGATACAGGCTATCATGAGGCCAACGGTGAGAATAGTGACAATCGAAGTTCCACCAAGTTCTAGAAGGAAGACATCGGATGGTATCAGGACAATAGTGATTCTGGCGTTGTAAAAGAAAGAAGACAGCGAGTATCGGGAATATCTAGCGGAAGAGATGCGGCTACTGTTGGTGGTGCCATGATAGATGGAGTAGAAAAAGCTAGGGCTGGGGTTAAGGTTTTGTTCGCCATTGTAGGAGGTAGTGGGAAAAGAATGGCGTCCAAAAAGGAAGATATGTGTGGACGGAAGGCCCTCGGCTGCTATGGCGACGGCTGAGGATGTGGCAGAAATGGGTGTTTGGAAAGGATAGGTTGGGGGAAGAAGATACAGGGTTTTTCTCCCTTTTTTTTCCTTTTTTTAATTAATTAATTAATCATGTAATATTTAATTTCGTAAATTGAAAGTTACTATTTTGTCCTTTATAAGAATATTAAAAATGTGGTCAAACTCAAGTTTTTGATCAACTAACGAAATTATGGATGAAAACCATATAAAAGGGCTTCCGCCACAACATTTCGAAAGGTTTTGGGATGATGATTGCAACAAATCAAAAGTTTGAAAAAAGTCTGCTAATGTTTTAAAATTTTGGGACCTCTACTATAATTATCCCTAAAAAAATATTGATATTAATAGTGGTATCGACCTCTTACAAGGAAATGTTTCATTTCTCGAAAATTATAGACAAATTGAATTTGTTATTGTCATGGATGAAATGATAAAAAAGGCAAGTACAATGGAAATTAAAACTGTATTCTAAGAAAAATGTATACTTCGAGGATAGAAGCAATTTGATGAAAGTAATGGTAATGAGTTAAAACAATAGGCTGAAGAATTTTTTAGAGTTAAAATCTCCTTTTTATAATTAATTAAAGAACAAGTTAAACTATATGAAAAGATATTTCAATTTTCGTTAAATTTAGAGATGTTAAGGTGTGCAACTTTTTTCAATTTGTTGAAACCTTGAGAAGTATTTGGAACATAATGGACATTCAAGCATTCACGTAGATGATTCATGTTCTATGTTACATGTCTTGATGTACTATATACCAAGTGAAGCAACGAGAACAATTAAAGTGCTACAATATTTGAAGACATCACAAATATTTATAGTACTTACAAAATTTTGTTAATCATACATTATCTCCGATCACCTATATTACAAGAAAGATTGAATGATTTAATTATGTTATCAATTGAGAAAGAAAATGATTGAACAAGTATGTTTATTCAAATTTGATTAATGCTGTGGCTTGGCTCGAACATTTTAGTTCGAACCTTGTCAAGCCGGCTCATTTTTTTATTCGTACAACTATAGATGCCTAGCTGCTTGCTGTAGGTAGTGCACGAGCTTGTGACACACCCGGGCCCGTATGGCTTGCCAGGCTCAAGGTGTTGCCCGAAAATTGGGCTTAGTCCGAGCTAGCTGGTTTGAGCAATTTGCGAGTCTGGTCGAGGGTCGTCAAGCCCACAAGTCAATTCGACGTCCCTAATTCAACATGACTTATACTATTGTACCTATTTAAGATGACAATGTCTTTTTGATTGAACCCAATTGGTCATGCCGAGCTAGATGAAGTCAATGTGGGTAACTTATTTTGTCAAGTCAAGATGTCCTCGTACATTGGAAATTTTAATTTTCTTCAAACTTATTTTCAATCATATATTCTTCCAATAAAATAATTTTACATGTAAATTCAAAAAATTTACCTATTTTTTAATCATTCATTTTTCCAACAAAAATCACTATATGAGGTCTATTTCTCGAAATAGGGGCTAATTTTTTAACTAGGTCCAATAGTTTTTAAAAGGCATAATTGCAGCAGAAACTCTAAACCTTTGAAACACTAGCAGGCTTTTTCTAAACTTTTGATTTATTGTAGACGTCACCTCTAAACTTTCCAATAGTTACTTGTGAGGCCCATTTGGACGATTCTCATCCAAAATTCCATTAGTTAACCAAAAAAATGATTTTGACCACATTTTAACAATTTTTAAAAGGACAGGGTAATTTTACATTAAAATCAAAAATAAAATTGGTCTTCTTCCCACCCCCACCCCACCCCATCCCATTCCATCCCGGGGGTACTTTTTAAAATAGCTTGGTCAAACAACCAATTTTTCATTTTGACCATTTTTTTTTGTATTCACCACATTGGCCTATTGACATTAAAAAGACAATTCTACCCTTATTCATGTTTAATAATTACAAAAGTATATCAATTGTTTAAAAGACAATAATACCCTTAATAGTTTAAATAAATTCTGTTACTTCCATACGTAAATTTCAAAATCAGTTTTGATTATCAGTTTCTCCAATACAGTAAAAAAGATTTTTTTCCTTCCATCTGCTAAAATATTGAAATCTTCCAAAATTATCAAAGGTTGAAAGAAAGAAACAATACTCACAGTCGGCACTAGAAATTGGTAAGTGTAAATACGTATTTTGAATTTTGTTTTAGTTAAATTTACTGTTTGAATCTGTAAATAATTATTTTGAGAAAGACAGATGAATTTTACAGTATTTAAACACAGATTTATAATTTTTTTATAGCAAAAACAACAAAAAATTCATCTCTGTATGCATATATTTTACAGAAAAAATTTATAGGTGTCTGTAAAATAAATATTTAAACATTATTTCGTTGAAAAAGGGAAAAAATAAAAAATTCAAGCGTAAATTTCAGATGAAACGGACGAAAAAAGTTGGGCCAAATGTTTCCAGCCGACTCAGATAACTGGGCCGGCTGTTTTCCTTTTTTTTTTATTTTTTTCCCTTTAGATTTTAGAATTTATTTGTTGAAATAAATATTAATGAATATTTAAATACTAATTGAAATAAATATTTTTGAAACAATTAAAATAATCAATGAATTATTTAAAGTATTAAATAAAATTAAATATGAAATGAACAATTTAAAAAATTATATATTAATTCCTTATTTTTAATTTGTGGCAGATATGGCATCAGCATGTGTCCCAATTTGTTACTTTGGTGAATTTCAAATGAATGAAAATGCTCAGTGGGAATGGAAATGGACAAGTGAAGGAGATGGGGTTAAAGCAATTTTTATAACAAAGAGTACATCGTTCGCAGAAATGTACAGTGATTTACAAAACATGCTTAACGTCGATCCCTCTCAGTACGATATGGAATTGGGATTTTTGTTTCATAAGCATTCAACCATTTCAATTCCACCTATGAAAGTTACTTCTGAAGTGGAAATGAAACATCTAATTAAATTGAACCAAGGTCGGAAGTCGACTCCTATTTGCGTAACTTTATTGGGGAAGAATGTCCACGAGGGGGAACACGAAGTTTCAAATGAAGAGAATCGTAATGTAAATGATGTTTGGGATACAATTCAGATTGTTCGTGAAGATGATGTGGTTATTCCCGAGACCACTGCTACTCACCATGGTCACACTGTTACGCATAGAATTCCATCGATAGTTGAAGACAACGAGAATGAAAATGCATTTACGAACGAGGATTTGATTGCTTTATCTCGTAGGAGACATGAGTCTGGTGGGAGCTCACAGACCGGACCGAGTACACGGTCCTCTAATTGTTCGCATGTGGTTCCCGATGATGAAGATGTATATGTCGAGCAACTATTCGAATCAAAGAAAGAATTGCAAGAAGCTGTGCACCGGATTGCTTTAAAACATAACTTCGAGTTTAAAGTGAAGAAATCAAACAAGTCGTTATACACAATTATCTGTGTTGACGACAATTGCCATTGGCGTTTGCGAGCGACTAAGATGGATACGAATGAATTTTTTGTAGTCCGTAAGTATGCACGGGAACATATTTGCGAAGTGGGTATTCGTCGAAATGATCACAGGCAGGCCCGATCATGGTTCATTGGTCGAGAAATAATGCACAAGTTTCAGGATCCACGAACGATTTACAGACCTTCGGACATCATTAATGATATTCGACGAGAGTACGGGGTGGTCATGAGCTATCAGAAGGCTTGGAAGGCTAAAGAATGTGCATTGGAGGATTTGATGGGTTCAGCTGAGGAGAGTTATGCTAAATTAGCCAGGTATTTCATTGTTTAAGTGTTTATTTCTTTGTTATTGTAAATTTTAATTATTTAATTTCAATTGTTTATTTATATGTAATTAATTATTTAATTGATTGTTTATTTTTCTATTTATTTAATATTTAATATATTATCTAAATTATGATTATTTTTATTTACATTGGCCAGGTATTGCTATAACATGGGAAGAATTAATACTGGGTCGGCATTTTTTATTGAGAAGGATGACGAAAATCACTTCAAATATTTCTTTATGGCCCTTGGACAATGTGTTCGAGGATTTCGAAATGCAATGCGACCCCTAATCTTAGTCGACGGTACAACCTTTAAGGCGAGATACGGGGGCAAGTTGATTATTGCAACATGCCAAGATGCGAACATCCAAATTTACTCTCTTGCGTTTGGCATAGTCGACGGAGAAAATGATGTAGCAATGAGTTGGTTTTTCACGAAGTTGAGGGAAGTAATTGGAGATGTCGAAAATCTTGCATTCGTAACCAATCGAGGGCAGTCAATAATAAATGGTCTCGCCGAAGTCTTCCCTGAGGCACATCATGGTTATTGTATGTACCATATACAGGGAAACTTGAAGACCAGGTATCAAGGCAATGGCGTTGTTGCGTTGTTTAGGAGAGCTGCAGAGGCTTACAGTTTTGAAGAGTTTGATAAGTTCATGGTCGAAATAGACAGTAAATCGCATGCTGCATGGGAGTATCTAACAAAGATGGGGATTGAACATTGGGCACGATCACATTTTCCAGGACGCCGATACAACATGATGACGTCGAACAATGCGGAGTCGTTTAACGCTTTATTCAAGAAAGATCGAGAGTTACCAATTCTTGCAATGATTGAGAACATTCGTGACAAGTTACAACAGTGGTTTCATGATCGACGTGAGGAATCACAGAGTTGTGCAAGTGTGCTAACCCCGGCTCAAGAAGATAAGCTCTTCAAGACTCTAGATGTGGCAAGAAAGGTATATGTAGAACCACTGGATCAATTTCGCTTCTCCGTGAGATGTGCACGTAATTTCGGATACATTGTGGACTTGAATGATAACACGTGCACGTGTAGACGGTTTCAGTTGGAGAGTTTTCCATGTACACATGCAGTGGCAGTGGCTATGCATAGAGGATTACCACCACACACCTTATGCAGTGTGTATTACATGACTGATTATTGGAGAGCAGCATATGCGGAAACAATATTTCCTGTACCAAATGAAGTCGAGTGGGAAGTGCCCGACCACATTCTCCCACTAAATAACTTGTTGCCACCAGCAGTTGGACCACGTACTCCTGGACGTACACGTACGTCTAGAATACCATCTACCGGAGAGTTTTCCCAGCCTCGTAAGTGCAGTAGGTACGGTGCAACAGGGCATACTAGAAGATATTGTACAAGTCAGATTCCTCTACATGACAATGTAACGGATGTGTAATTTTAATAACTATTGGCAATGTAATTATTTATAACATTGACGTTAATTATTTATGCATATTATTTATGCGAATTATTAGATTTAGTATTTTTTTCAAATATTTCATTCATTACATTCATTTGTTATGCATATTATTTATGTTAATTATTTGAAATCGAAACTTTTTCTAAAAACTGCATTATACGGTAGGCTACATTGTAAAATAAATATTTAAATATTACATATGCAATCAACATTTTACAATTTTTTCGTAATTACAAATAAATGAATGAATTGTACAATGTTTAAATAAATGTAAAAATATGTACAATTATTTACGGATCCCCATTAAATTCAAATAAATCACATGCTAGTTTATTTCTCCAATTTTGTATCCATGAATGGTTGATTGCATCAACCTTATGTGCCACACTCAAAAATTCTATGTACTTGATGACGAAAATGCCGCAATCACCCCTACAATTAAACAATGTTGTATTAGTACATCGAAATTTAGTTAGAAACTAAGATGTAAATGACAGAAAGAAAATTACAAACACTTACGATATTTGTTGCCTCGTCGTCGTCGTGTTCCGCATGGTGGCCAATCTGTCTTGTACAGTGATGTTAGCTCGTCTAGCCATCATGGGAACGATCACAGACAGCGACTCTAGATTTTGCTCGAGCTGGCCTTGTGTCAGGCATGAATGATCGGGGTAGTACACATACATCGTGGAGTCGGCGAATACGATTTCCACTGCAATGTAGTGATGATTCAGACATACTGGTACGTACATATGCGTACAGCCATCCCATGGCTTCCCACCGACACTCGGCCACATCCCTACGACCCATTCCATCATATATTCCGGCATCGTGTACTCACTACCCATAGCCTGGAACGACTGGTACTCAATGTCAACGGCACGGATGAACTCGGTGTTCAATATGAGTCTGCCAGGAATGTTGAACGATTTTGGATGTCTTTCAGCACGATCCCGTAGCAAATCCATGCTCAAGTCGATGTGCTACATCAAGAAACACCAATAAAGAAAGGAGTTAATCTATGAATTTCATTCAAAAAATTGATTTTGAACGTACGTAATAAATAACAATATTTTCATTTCACTTACATCGTCGGCGAGCCAAGCCACCGAAGTGGTGATGTCGTGGAACCACTTGTAAGCATTTGAGATCGTCTTCTCAGCAATCGTGCGGCTGGCCCTGAAAAAATAAGAACGGAATTTTTAGTTATATGAAGTATACATGTGTCAGCGATTGCGTACTATAGTAATTACATAAAATACAAAACTGACCCAGGCTGCAGTGCTCTCCACTCTGTCTCAAAGGCTTTCCACTTGGCGTGGTCCACCTCCCTGAATAAATTCTGGTGCGTCCCGTCGACGAACCTTCTCCTCTTCGCCTCCGCGGTAAAGGGAGAAAGAACGTACTGTGATGGCACCCTTGGCCTCTTGTCGACCACCCGCTCCTCATGATCCTCGGGAATCTCCATCTCCCCAGCCATCGAGACGACCCCCTCGCCCGCTGTCGGGACCACCTCCTCCGACACAAAGACCACGACCGGCGAGTCTGGCGTCTTCTCCTCCGGTGCCCCCTCGACATCCCCGGGTATCCCGTGCACGGATACCACCTCCAGCTCCAGTACCCTATCCTCCTCCGGTACCCCCTCGGCATCCCCGGGTATCCCCTGCACGGGTACCACCTCCACCTCCACCTCCGATGCCCCCTCGACGACCTCGGGTATCCCCTGCACGGGCACCCCCACCTCCGATACCACCTCCACCTCCATCTCCGGTACCCTCTCCTCCTTGGGCACCCCCTCCACGTCCTCAGGTATATCCTGCGCGGGCACCCCCTCCACCACAGGTATCCTCTCTCGCTCCTCCATCCCCATCGTGTCATCTAAAAATGAATCAAATGCAGCAACTGATGGCCACGATGAGTCAACATACCCCATCTGACCCCCTCCCCCCCTCCGTCACCCCCTCCGTCCCGATAACCGCCAGTCCCTCCGTCTCGATAGCCACCAGTCGCTCCGTCACCCCCTCCGTCCCGATAGTGACCTGTCCCTCCGCTACCTCCTCCATCTCGATAATCGCTCGTCCCACGCAGGCTTGCTATGTCACCCCGTATCGCTGCAACCTCAGCATAGAGGTCTCCTAACCCAGCTCGTAACATCGCGACATCATATCGTAAATGTGCCATGTCCCCGAACTCAGCTCGTAGTGTCACGACATTCTCCCGTAACTCTGCCATGTCTCCTCTCATCTCCATCAGGAGGTCGAACAAATCAATCGTCGAAGCACGGGGACTAGGTGCAGGAGGCGATACTGGACGGCCCTCCTGAAAAAATAACTATTACAAATGAATAACCTAACAAATACAATAAAACGACAATCGAATAATAATTTTTAAGTAACATACTCTATCTCGATCAACGCTGGACTCAGGCATCTGAACCTCTGGCGTAGCTGGACGTGATCTTCTCAGCGGAGGTGACATCCTCGCTGGACGTGCTCTCCTCGGTGGAGGTGATATCCTCAACGGAGGTAATACTGAACAATCCTCCTGAAAAAATAAATATTACAAGTGAGGCACTTAGTTACAAGATCGAAGCGATATTCAATAAATCCTGCACAGTGACATACCCTATCTCGATCCATCCTGGACTCAGGCATCTGATCGTCATGCGCAGTACGAAGAGGCAATTCGCGAATATAAAACTGACTCTCCTCCTCGATCGACGGTGCCAACTCAGTGAGAACTTCAAGCTGTCATTTTCATATGTCACAGTTAATGACTATGTATTCAGATTGTAAAAGGACGTACAACATAAATAGCAATTGTATAATACATACCTCAGGATCGTCGAGGAGAGCCGATAACTGTCTGGCAAGCGGCTTGTCTTGTGCTCGCCAGTGATGCATCCGAGGATAGTGTGTCTCTCCTCTCCTCGCATACCGACTGGCCAAGATAGGGACAGTCTCGTACACCCATATTTGAAACAATTACAATTATTGTGTATAGAATTCAATAAAAAAAGTGTAGGTAATTCATTAACTTAAACATATACCTGCAGCGCCAACGGCAGTCCATATGCATCGTACTTGCGCTCGGGCTTATCCCCCTTTGGCATTGAAAACCCCCTCCTAAACACGCGTAATGTATCAAGAAAACATCTCCAACCCCATGGGTAGTTGTTGAAGGCATCAATATCTTCAACAACCTCCAAATGAAAAATGTCAATCGATGGCTTCTTGTAATGACACCGGAGTATGCTCTCGATGATAAGCACCAATCTTAACTTCAACCTATCAGACATCCGATTACATCTCCTTAATGCATCTCCTAGCTGCGCTAGAGTAACCGTCGTCTGTCCATGAAAATATTCGTTCAACAGCCTCCTGTTCCTCGAAACACAGGCCCTCGCCTCTGCATCATCCGTACATCACAGTCCAGTGACGAGAGCAAACTCAAATATAGAGAACGTGGCTACCTTAGCCCCAAGATAAAAATGGAGGGCGTCTCCGTCAACTGGCTTCAGCAAGTGACATAATAGGGCATCCAGCAGCTGCCCAGACCACAGTACGTCACGCAACGAATACAATGGCCATAAGCATGATCGACGTAATATATCTGCGTGATCGTCGTCCAGCAAATTCAATACCAAAGCGAACCTGGTAAAATTACAATTCGAGGTAACTTTACCAGGGATCTGTCTGACAGCGTCGTCCAGATGATATTCCATCCTGCAAAATTTCAAATATTAGAACCCTATGCAAATAACGTTCGATAAACAAAAATATTAAAAAAAATATACTAACACACTGCTACTAGATGCAATAACCAACCGATAACAGAATAAACAAAATGAACGTAAATTACTATTTTCCATATACTTAATTTGCTAATTTGATCGTTTATTTTAATATTTTAATTGCTTATTTTAATTATTTATCTAACACTAAATTAACTTTTTCATTTTTATTTAATGTTTAGACACTTATTTTAATTCTTTAAGCATATCGCTTATTTCATATTTACAAATTTATTTCATATTTCTTTTAATAATTTTAATAACACTTATTTTGATCGTTTATTTTAATATTTTAATTATTTTTCTAACACTTAATATACTTTTTCATTTTTTACGAATGTTTAAATATATATATCTTATTTAATATTTCATTTTTTAACATAAATTTAGTAACACTTGTTTTGAAACTTCTTTAATTATTTTACTATCACTTATTTTGATATTTTAATTGCTTATTTTAATTTTTTTTTCTAACAGTTAATTTACTTATTTATTTTTAATGAAGTTTTAAAACTTATTTTAATTATTTACAAATGTTTAATTATGTATTTAAATTCTTTATATATATCTTATTTAATATTTCATTTTTTAACATAAATTTAGTAACACTTGTTTTGAAATGCTTATTTTAATATTTTAATTATCTTTCTAACACTTAATTTAGTTTTTTAATTTTAATGAATGTTTAAATACTAATTTTAATTCTTTACGCATAATGCTTATTTCATATTTACAAATTTATTTTAATTGCTTTTCAAAAAATAAATTTTTTTGCTAATTTACTTTTCAAATTTAATTGCTTATTTTTATTATTTTACAAATGTTTAAATATTTTTTTCAATTCTTTAGATATATTAATTATTTAATATTATATTATTTCTTTTCATTTTTTTACTATTACTTAATATAAAATAATTAATTAATCTAAATTAGCAACTAATAAATAATTCGATAAATAATATAACATTTACATCTTATATTTACTAATAATTTTAAATACATAATAAACATTCAAATTAAGTAATTCAAATAAATAATTACACAACATAAGCCATTAATAATTATTTAATTAACTTCAATAATTACCGAAAAAAATAAAGAAAAAAAAACAGACGGCCCAGCTTCCCAGTTGACTGGGCGCCCGGGTGCCCAGTTGGGCACAGGCGCGCAGTCAACTGGGCAACCCAGTTGACTGGGAGGGGCGCCGAGACGTCCCAGTTAACTGGGCCGTCTGGGCGGCTGGGCGCGCCCAGACGGCGTGCCCAGTCGCCATTTCCATTGTCTGCTGTCCGGTAGGAGATCGCCGGAAAACTCCATTTCCGGCAATCTCCACTGCTTCCCAAGTAATAACAATCCAAAATTCCACATTTACACAAGTATTTCTCAAGAAATATGTATAAAACCATACTTTTTTCCAAAAATAAAAATATAAACATGATTTTTTTGGTATACATTTCTTACCTTCTTCAGAGGGATTTTGGCCAAGTGGGTCTCCTGTTTTTCCTTATTTGTCGGTGACTGGGTCGACTGTGCTACAGTATTTTCCCGTCTCCTTCGGCTTCTCCTTCGTTTTCAAGTGAGGGTAAAATTGGAATTCTCTTCATTTTTTTTTGTTTTCACGATTTTTTATAATTTTGCCTTTTTTTTTCATTGGTCAAAGGCCAGTTTGAAAAATTGGCCGGGTCAACTGGCCAACAGCCACTAATTCCTCTTCCATCCCATCCCATCCCATCCCATCAATATCTGGCGCACAAGTACACAGCTTCTTCCGAGATCCGTTGAGAAAGCCATACGTATTGACTGCAAGCAGCAATGAATGATGAGAATTTAAACACCACAGCTTCATCAGTTCAGTCATTGCTTTCATTAACCTTCATTCTATCATCCCAACCATCGACAAACGCCTTTCCCATGCGATTCTCTTTCTCTAACTCCTTAACCTTCTCCAACTCCATGTCTGTCAACCTAGCCTCCGAATACCAATTCCCAGTTTGATTCTCTCTCGAGCCTCTGCCACTGGTTCGACCTCAATCCGAACCAGGTTCCACCTGTTGCCCAACAACTGCACTGTTAAAGTGCTCCTTTGTTAGACTAGTAGACCACGAGGACGGACCCAAATCCCATCCCAATCGATCGGAGTCGAACGACCCTGTCCCATCGAAATGGGCCGTCCAATTAGGTTCTTTCTTATCATTGTTATTAATGCCGCTTCCATTTTCAGTGGAAAAACGTTTTGTTAAATCGGATAAAACCCTAAGGTTTGGGGTTTTGACGTAGGTTTTAAAGGAGAGTTGGGTAAACACGCGTTGAAAGGATTGCATTTCTTCCTCTTCTAAAACCTATCTTTCTAATTGAACAGTAAACTAGGGAAGTACGTAGAGATTCATAGACCAATTTTATTTTTCCCTTTTTTTGATTTTTCAATGTAAAATTACTATTTCTACCCCTTTAAAAAAATGTTAAAATATGGTCAAAATCATTATTTTGATCAATCGACAGAATTTTGGATAAAAACCGTCCAAAAAGGGCCTCACATGCAACATTTGAAAATGTTAGGTTAACGGCTGCAACAAATCAAAAGTTTGGGGAATGTCTGCTAGTGTTTTAAAGGTTTAGAGCTTCTATTGCAATTATCATCTTTTAAAATTATATTTTCTTTTTTCAATTCATATTTTGGGAAAGGAAAAACAAAAATATAAAAAGTACTCGAGTCAAGAGTTTGGCCAAATCCAAGACCGTTGAATTCAAATGACATTTAGCACCTGTTTATCTTAGCTTAAAATAAAAACTCTTTATTTCTTATATATAATTTCAACCATACATTTATATAATAAAATATTTTGCATGTAAAAATAAAAAAAATTCCCTAATTTTTAATCACACGTTATCCAAAAAATTACTATTCAAAACTCAATTTTTTTTCAAAATAATGGTAGCAAAAAGAGACTTACCTCCTCTTTGGCCATATCTTTTAAAAGTTCATTTTTCACTCACACATTTTATAAGATTCACAAATTTTATTTAGTTTTCAATCACACATTTTGTCAATTTTATCAAAATTATTAAAAATCTAAGGTGCATTTGGGTTGCTTTTTTTAGTTTTCAGTTTTGCAAAACACTGAAAACGAGTTTGATATGATATTTTTGAAAATGCTTTTTCAAAAACAAGTTAAATTTATAACATAAAACTCAAAACACATATTTGATATTTTGAGTGAAATTGCTGAAAACATTCAAAACACAAAAAACGAGCTTTTAAATAAAATTAAGAATTTCTAAAAAATGAAAATATAAAATTCTACAAAACAAAAATAAAAATAGTTCAAACTCTTAATGATGATTTAAATAAAAATTCTAAAAATATATTTAAATTAAAAATGGATAAAAAAATTATCTCCCCTCCAATTTTATTTTAATTTTCCATATTTTGAATGCAATTTATTATTTGGTTTTATTTTACTTTTATAGTGAGAAAAAATATTGTAAAAATCACTAACTTAAAAATGTATATAATACTTGATAATATATTAACAAAAAATTATTCTATTTTTATTGAATAATCAAATTTCATATAATAAAATGTTATAAACCAAATTTTCAAAATTTCAAACTAATTATGTTTTCTAGTTTTCTGTTTTAAAAGATAATTTTTCAAAATGACAAATCAAACGCATTTTTAGCAATCGTAAAAAAGACACTCAAAACATAATATTGAAAATGTACTCAAAACTTAAAACTAAAACGCAACATAATTGGGCCCCTAATTTTTAACAAAATCATACATGGAATAAGTGATAAATCGGTGTAAATTGCACCTAAGATTTCAGACCTTTCAAAAAAAGTTCAGTACAGTCCCAAACCTTTATCTCAATCTATTTCTTATTAGGATCTGATGCTACCAAATCATACTTGTATATTTCCCGAGCTTGATGATTCGGATTGAACACAATCGTAGTCTTCCGGTACCTGAAACAAAGGCAACGAGGTGGTGTTCTTGTCCCCGTCCGATGCTTAAGTCAGAAAGGGAATTATATGCGTGAGGCTATAGACTGAAGAATAATGAAAAACATACCTGAATAATGGCTCAAGGTTCTGTATTTATAGTAGTAAGCGACATTCTCCTAGTGGGACTCAACTAGCTAGGTGTCCTTATCTGTTGGAGTCCTGTATAGTTAAGGAGTTGGTCGAATACCATAATTATATGTGGGATAGAATCCTTACGGGAGTCAAGTATATGGTTGAGTTAGAGTCCTAATTGCATAGGAGTTCTAAAAGGTCAACAATCGTAGATTATGAGGGGAGGGTATGCTCGAGGACTACTAATGCTCAAGCACAAGAATCGCAATATGTAAAGCAGCAAGATAGTGAGTGCTCGAGAATAACCCTCGGGTTGAGCATATGCTCAAGCACTCCATATGTGGAATTTGCGGGTTTATCCAAGATTTGTGGTCGAGATAAAATGATCGAGCATTCATGTATATCATAAAAGGATAGCGTAATCCTCGGGATAATATGGTGGTCAGGTTATCCGGAATGTCAGTATCATTGGCCCCCGTGCACATATGCTCGAAGCCTTTGCTCGAGGATATGATGCAAAGAGGCTTGAAACAAAAGCTTGGGTGTTTTAGCTCGAGGAAGTTTTTGAAGACAGGTGTTCAAAAGGGTTGACGTGTACTAAGGTAAGCCCTAAATAAGAAAATGCGGTAAAAATGGTAGGGGTGGATATAGGACACGTGGCCAGATCTGACGGTCAGGGTAGTGACTTTTGGACTACCCGCTCCTGTTGCCTATAAATAGCCTCTCCATATTTCATTTTTCACTTTTTACTCTCAGTAAACTTCTCTCGCTAATCATCGGGATCAGAACTTTGAGTTTTTAGGCGTCAACTTTAAGGTAAGACCTCGAGTTCTTAAGTTAATCTTTACGCAATTTTTTACCTTGGTCAGGATGTCTAGTAGTAGTAGTACTGAGTCTTCGTCCTCTTCCTCGAGGAGTACTCCCGAGGACATAGGATGCTCGATCATACCTATGGTCGTGCCTATTAATGCCCAACCTCGGGCACAAAGTATCCCGACCCCATTTAGGTACCCCGAGGTTCCTTGTAAGTTTAAAGAGCATTTAGCAATATCGACGGCTAGGGAGCACGGGCTCATGCCGAAGTGTGATATTAGGACGCCAGGGGGAGAGGGTAGGATGGCCTTTGCTCGAGATGGAGAGTTTGTAATTTTTAGGGACTCGCTAAAGGGTGGATTTAGATGGCCTCTGCACCCCTTTTTTGTGGCTTTATTGGTCGAGCACAACATGAGCCCTGGACAGCTCGTACCAAATGGGTGGAGAATGCTCACCTATTTTTTTATAGCCTGTAGATACCTAGAAATTGACCCATACATCGATCTTTGTAGAATGGTCTTCGATTTAAAAAAGCTACCTCAATATACTTGTTTCGCCTACCTTTCATCTCGAGGAGGTTTTAGATTACTGAGGATGCCCAGTTCATTGAAAGGATGGAAATAAAAGTGGTTTTATGTCGTACCTTAGGATAGTGACCTTCCTTTTAGTCCTAGGTGGGTTTTGCCCGACACTACCAGGTTTTGTGAAGGCCAGGCCTATTTTGAGTCTTTAGAAAGGCATAGGGTGATGTTAGAGAACTTTCAGCCTCTTGTTTATGATATAGATGACATCCTCGGGGATGACGTTCTCGATCTTGTGAATGTGAAAAGCACTGAGGGTAAGGATCATCTTTTTGCCTTCTTCCTCATTGATCTGTCTTTGAATGTAAAATTGTGCTCATGTCAATGACTTGTTTTTGCAGAGATGACTTTCGATCCTTTAGCCCTTAAACAGGCCGTGAACAAAAAGTCAAAGGCCCTCAAGCTCGACCTATGGGTCAAAAGAAAGGGAAGAAGAGAGCTCGTGATTCAGGCCCCGAGAATATTAGGAGTGGGCCAGGCGAACCTTCTGCCCGGGGACAATCCCCAATGGCTCATGAAACTTCAACTACCCCTCCTCGGTCACGTCTTCGGTCAAGGAGTACCCCCGAGGTTGTTGACCTCAAGGATGAGGTCCCTCCTATGCCTTCATTCCAAAATCAAGATCCTGATTAGTGTCCCCTGGTGTCGAGCATCATGGACAAATATCGAAAGGACCTCGACTTTGACGAGGGCATGAAAGCTCTTGAAACCCTTACGCTAAAGGTAAGCTCGCTCAACTTACTTGGCATAATTTATGTTTATATGATGTGATCGTTTAAGGGTTTATATGATGTAGACTCTGAGTATTGCCCGAGGCCTCTCTCTAAAGGGAAAAGACGAGGCACAGAAAACTACTGAGCTCGAGGATACTTCTCGAGCACATGAGAAGAGGATAGCTAACATGGAAGTTGAGCGCTTTCTTCTCCAAAGGGAGATCGATGACGCGAAGAACGACCTTCAGAGAGCTCGGGAAGAGGCTGGAGCGGCCAAGGGCGAGGCCAAGGATTTAAAGCTCGAGATCGAGCGTTTGAAGAGGGATTTTAAAACTCGCCTGACTGAAGCTCGAGGCATTGCGATCGAAGATTTTAAAACGTCTGAAGAGTTCAGCGGGCTGAAGGGAGAGTACGCCATGGGCTCGTATTTCCACGCTTTGAAAGAGGCTCTGGCATTTTTGAGGTCGAGGCCTAATGCAAAGCCCGAGGATTTAAAGAGCATCCCTGAGGTTGCTGAAGACCTCGAGCTTTCAGAGTCCGAGGAAATCGTCGAGGACCCGGAGGTCGATATTGACGGCGAGGACGTGGCGAAAGAGCAAGGAAGCACGGCCTCGAGAGAAAGAGCCGAGGACCTAGATTAGTTTATGTTTTTCTTCTGTTTTTGGATACTCAACTCTTGTACTTGATTAATCAGTTTTGTGTTCTTCCTAAGCTTGACTTGCGTTTCTGGCTATGTTTGTGTTTGCTCGAGCTTTAAGTTCATTTGAGAACTATACTAAGTGATGTGACCTAGCCTGACTTTAAGAGAATCCATAGCTCGACGCCTAGACTAATTATATAACTCGACGCCTAAGATGTATAAAATAGCTCGACGCCTAAGATGTATTAATATCACGACGCCTAGACAAATTAAATAACTCGACCGCCTAAGATGTATTAAACAGCTCGACGCCTAAGATGTATTAATATCTCGACGCCTAAGTGAAGTTCTAGCCTTGACGTACTTATTCACCAACAACAAAGATTTATTTTTGTCATGCTCGATAAATAATACTCTTGAGGACTGAATTTTATAAAATCATTTTTGAAATTATGTGTTGAGCTCGAGCATGTAGACAAATTGTCTCGAGGACTTAATTTGTAAAATTATTTTTGAACACTATGCGTTGAGCTCGAGCATGTACACAAGTATCCCGAGGGGTCAATTTGTAAAATCATTATGAGTTCAGCTCGGGCATGTATACAAATTATCTCGAGGACTCAATTTGTAAAATCATTTTTTGCCATTGAGTTGAGCTCGAGCATAATATGCATGTTTATCTCGAGGACTCCATGACAACATAATTGTATCGACCTATAGCGTGATTCTCGAGGACAGTAATGGCCTTTTTATAAGATCCTCACACCATTGATCGGGCACTGTGTAATCGGGAATGTTACTTGATGTGCTTGCTCAAGGCAATGCTTTTTGATTGCTTGCGCGGGGTAATACTTTTTGATTGCTTGCGCGGGCAAGGCTTTTTAATTGCTTGCTCAGGGCAAGGCTTTTAGATTGCTTGCGCGGGGCAAGGCTTTTTGATTGCTTGCGCGGGGCAAAACTTTTTGATTGCTTGCATAGGGCAAGGCTTGAATGGCTTACGCGACGCAAGACTTTTTGTAGCTACATCATATTTTGACGAATAGCTTAATTCTTATTATACTTTAAAAATAGACTTGGCATGCAGGGCTGACGACTAAAAACGTGAACCTTGGCACGCAGGCCTGACTACCGAAAAATAAAACTTGGCACGCAGGCCTGAGAATTGAAAACGTGAACCTTGACGTACAGGCCTGACTACTGATAACTGGAAGACCAAGTTACTTGTAATATATCTTTAAATTCTCGGCGTTCTATAGTCTTGGAAGTGGTCTTCCTGATGTATCCCTTAAACTGTATGCACCTCGTTGGAGTTGTCGTATGACTTTAAAGGGCCCTTCCCAAATCGGTCCTAGCTTGCCCGGGGCATGACCCGCTGCTTCGACCCTTCTTAACACAAGGTCTCCGGCTCTGAATCTCCACGTCCTCACTTTTTTATTGAAGTATTTGCTGTTTTATCTTGGTAGGAGGCCATTCTTAAAGTTGCCTGATCACGAACTTCTTCCAAGAGGTCGAGGTGTTCAGTGGTGCGCCATGCATCTTCGGGATCGAGCCTCCTTTGGCTGGGCAACCTGACTTCAACAGGGATGGTGGCCTCAATACCAAAAGCCAACATGAAGGGGGTTTCCCCTGTAGCAGTTCTGTGGGACGTTCTATACGTCCAAGGTATGGAAGGTAACTCGTCAGACTATGAACCTTTTGCATTCCCCGATCCTTGTACGGAGGTCTTGCAATATAATCCAATTGGTCACTTCGACGAGACCATTACTTTGAGGATGGGAAACCGATGTCAAACGGTGATAACCCCTAGGTTGGAACAAAAGTTTTTAAATTGTGCATTATCGAACTGCCTGCCATTATCAGTTATGAGGACTTTCGGTATTTCGAACCTACATATGATAGATCTCCAAATGAAACTTCTCAACTTCATCTCTTAAATTGTTGCTAAAGGCTCGGCCTCCACCCACATAGTGAAATACTCTACAACCATGGCCACAAACTTTAATTGTCCCCTACTTATTGGAAAGGGACCAAGGATGTCAATTTCCCACTGCTCAAATAGGGCTGTGCAACTAATGTTAGTGAGGTCCTCTGCGGGAGGGTGGATGACATTGCCAAATCTTTGGCACTTGTCACACTTCTTGACATATTCTTGGGCGTCTTTCTTCACGGTTGGCCAATAATATCCATACCTTATGAGCTTGAAGGCTAATGCCCGAGCTCCTTGATGGTTCCCACATACTCCTTCATGAACTTTTTCTAGGGCCTGGGATGATTCGGAAGGCCTAAGGCATCACAGGTATGGAAGTGTGAGGCTCCTGGGAAATAAAACTCCTTCAATCATGCAATAGCTCGGAGCTTTGGACCGGATGCTTCTCGCTGCTCGAGGATCTTCTGGAAGACTGCCATGTTCTATGAAGTCCACTATGGGGTCCATCCACGACAGCTCATTATCAATATCCATGACGCCTATGGTCTGATTGATGCTTGGCTCAGTTACAATATTGACGTGAACTGTCCTGTCAAGCCCATCCATTCCCATGAACACCAATCTTGACAAGGCATCGGCCTTACAATTCTCAGCCCTAGAAATTTTCACAATTTCACAACTCTTGAACTTTCTCTGGAGATCATGCACTTTCAAGCAGTATAAGCTCATCTTCCCGTCCTTCCTATCGAACATCCCTTCGATTTGTCCAACTACCGATTGGGAATCACTGTAAATTTTGATATTTTCAAGCTTGAGATTTATGGCGAGATCCATGGCTATGATGACAGCCTCATACTCTGCCTCATTATTGGTCGCCTCAAATTCGAACATAAGTGCGCACTGAATGTTTATGAGCATGTCCAGGCTTATGATTATGACTCCTGTGCCCGAGCTCGAGGAGTTTGATGCTCCATCTACGAAAATTTTCCACACACATATGGTCGAGCTCGAGCTACCATCTGGCCCCCGAGGCCTTGGGGTGAGTTTTGCAATGAAGTCAGCTAAGGCCTGAGCTTTGATAGATAGATGGGGCTTGAACTCTATGTCAAATTCTCCAAGTTCAATTGCCCACCTTAGTAATCTTCCTGAGACGTCTGGTTTCTGAAGAATGTGTTTTAGAGGCTGATTGGTGAGCAGTACAATAGGATGGGACTAAAAATATTGTCGAAGTTTTCGTGCTGCCACTATCAGTGCAAGAGCAAGTTGTTCTGCCGAAGTGTATCTTGTTTCTGCATCAAGTAGAACTTTACTTACATAATAAATGGGTTGCTGGGCCCTGTTAACCTCTTTCACCAAGATACCACTCGCTGCATTCTGAGATACGGTTAAGTATAAATACAAAGTATGCCCGGGCTCGGATTTGGTGAGGATAGGAAGAGATTCCAATGTCTGCTTGAGCTCTTGAAAGCCTTCTCGCACTCCTCATTCCATTCAAAGTAATGATTCCCCCTGAAGGCTTTGAAGAAGGGGAAGCACCTGACTGCTGCTCGGGACATGAACCTGTTTAAGGCAGCTACCATGCCTGTCAACTTTTGAACCTCTTTCTTGGTCCTTGGTGATTTCATTGCTGCCAGAGCCTGAATCTTGTTGGGGTTCGCCTCAATCCCCCGATGAGTGATCATAAAACCCAAAAACTTTCCTGAAACTACGCCGAATACACACTTCTCTGGGTTGAGCTTCATCTTATATTTTCGTAGGATGACGAACACCTCATCTAGGTCGGATATGTGTTCCTCCACCCTCTTACTCTTTACAACCATATCGTCCACATAGGCCTCGATGTTCTTTCCTATCAAATCAGACAGCTACTTCTGGGTCTATCCCTGGCATATCCCCTACCTTCCATGCAAAAACATCAATGTTGTGGGACAGACAATTGATAACTTCCTCCTGGAGGTTGGCCTTGAGATTCCGACCAATAGTGACGGCTTTTTCGTGCTCGAGCTCGACCACTTCCAATTCCTCAACAGGGGCTAATCTATCCCTTGGCTCGAGCTAGAGCTCGAGGTCTGCGAGTTGCATGACGTTAACACTCATTCCTCGGATGCTAGTAACATAGCACTGTCTAGCCACTGTTTGGTCTTCTTGAACTACTCCGATGCCATGACCTGTGGGGAACTTCATGGCGAGGTGCAAAGTTGACACAATAGCCTGGATCTTGTTCAGTAGGGGTCTTCCCAGAATGATGTTGTAGGCCATTGGGGTATTAACCACTTGGAATAGTGTGATCTCTGTCACTTGTGTACTACCAGTTCTTAATGTAAGCGGGCGCTCGACGATACCTTCAGGGATAATGACTCCACCACCAAATCCCTGTAGGGGAGTTTTTACTGCTTTGAGCTGTTTGGGAGAGATTTCGATTTTGGTGAAAGCCTCTTGCTACAGTATATTCGTTGCACTCCCATTATTAACCAGAATCCTCATTACTTCGAAGTTAGCCACAACCACAGAGACGACCAAGGCATCGTCATGAGAATATGATATTCCTTCCAAATCTCTTACTCCAAAAGTGATGTATTTGACTTCATTACGGGATTCTCTTGGGGTATGAGCATGTTGGTGGGCATACTGCTTTCGCCCACTACTTGTGTCTCTGCCAGATGCTATGCCCCCAACGATAATATTAATGGTTCCGACAGTGGGTTGAGCACTGCTTCCAGTCCCAGGCTCTTTCCGATTGTCACGGTCACTCCTTGGTCGCTTATCATGACGAATGTAATTCTTTAAAAATCCTCTTTTGATAAGGGCTTCAATTTCTCGATGTAAAGCATGACAATCCTCTGTAGTATGCCCATGATCCCGGTGAAATTCGCAATACTTGCTCCTATCTCTTGTGTCAGGGGGCGAATTCATCCTTGAAGGCCACTTTAATTCTTTCATATCCTTAACCTCCATCAAAATGCTTGTCTTAGAGGTGTTCAACCGAGTAAGAGGTGTTGATGGCGCCTCATTCCTGCGCTTATCCCAGGGAACCTCATGCCGGGGGATGGGATCATGTTACCTCTTGTTCTCGATCTTTTCATGGGAAGGACCAGGTCTCCTTGGATTTAGTGTTTCCTCCATATTAATGTATTTTTCAGCTCGGGTGAGGAGCTCGGTCACTGTCTGCAATGGGGTCTTTGATAAGGACATCTTGAAAACTTCACATCTTACGGCGTAAGTGAGGGCGGAGACAGCTGTTGTGATGTGAAGGTCGGGTATTTGAAGCCTTTCCTTGTTAAACCTTGTCATAAATTCTCGTAGGGTTTCAGTTGGTCCCTGGCGAAGTTGCATGAGAGAGGTCGCGGTCTTCCTGATTCGCTAGCTACTTGTAAAGAAGGCTGAGAACTTATCAGCCAAATCTGAGAATGAGGCTCTTGCAAGTTTATGACATTAGTGTATACATTGAGATGGTTGATGGGGTCGGTCGTCCCATCATACTCTTTAATATGAGGATATTTGAATCTATCGGGCAAGGGATATGACAATATCTCTGGCGTGAATGGAGTGTTAGGGGTGAAACCTGTTGACCCCCGAGCATTCCGTTGCAGGCCAGCTGTAATTCCTTCTTGAATGATTCGGGCAATTTCACCGGAATCCATGGCGACCGATCTCGAGCCCGAGGCCATATTGTGAATACCCAAGGTTCCTACTCCGCCATTTGCGGGGTTTGGTGGTCGTGCTCGAGCATCGGCTATAAAACCGCCATGCTCCGCCTGCGTTGGCGACGAATGTGAATTTCTTTGACTTAACAGTTGTGTGAGCGTGGCCACCTGCTGACAGAGCTCTTCAAAAGCTTCAGTTATGATGACCGCTGGCAAAGGTGCGGGCACTCCTGAGGATTCTTCATGAAGAGTCGGTTAATCTTTGCCAGGATGAGGGATGGGAGTGGATGAGCTTGCGGAGGAAGACCTGATCGTGTGTTAACCATGGCTTCTGGTAGTGTTTCCCACAGACTGCGCCAATGATGCTACCAAAAATCGTACCTGTATATTTCCCGAGCTTGATGATTCGGATTGAACACGATCGTAGTCTTCCGGTACCTGAAACAAAGGCAATGAGGTGGTGTTCTCGTCGTCCCTCCGATACTTTAGTCAGAAAGGGAATTATATGCATGAGGCTATAGACTGGAGAATAATAAAAAACGTACTTGAATAATGGCTCAAGGTTCTGTATTTATAGTAGTAAGCAACATTCTCCTAGTGGGATTCAACTAGGTAGGTGTCCTTATCTGTTGGAGTCCTGTATAGTTAAGGAGTTGGTCAAATACCATAATTATATGTGGGATAGAATCCTTGCCGGAGTCAAGTATATGGTTGAGTTAGAGTCCTAATTGCATAGGAATTCTAAAAGGTCAACAATCGTAGATTGTGATGGGAGGGTATGCTCGAGGACTACTAATGCTCGAGCACAAGAATCGCAATATGTAAAGTAGCAAGACAGTGAGTGCTCGAGAATAACCCTCGGGTTGAGCATATGCTCGAGCACTCCATATGTGGAATTTGCGGGTTTATCCAAGATTTGTGGTCGGGATAAAATGATCGAGCATTCATGTATATCATGAAAGGATAGCGTAATCCTCGGGATAATATGGTGGTCAGGTTATTCGGAATGTCAGTATCAGGATCCTTGAATGATTTTTGTCTAAAATCCTACCAATTGTCCCAGAAGTCCCTAATTGATCACTATCTGACCAATATGAAGTATATTTTTGGAGTTATTAATAATCAATTTAAATTATAAATAGATAAAAAGGAGTAGTGGAATTGTGGAAAGCAAATATGAATCTCAATAATCATTTGAATAAAAAGTGAGTTTAACCAATTATCATTTTTTATTTATCAATTTTTATTCTATATCTGACCAATATGAAGTATATTTTCGGAGTTATTTATAATCAATTTAAATTATAAAATAGATAAAAATGAGTGATAATTAAGTGATTGTGAATCCCCATTATAAATGGTTTTCTAATCATTAGCCAAACTAGCATTTAAAAAATTGGCAAGAGGGTCTTCACATAGTATCTCATCTAAAATTTCATTTTTAAATGAGTGGTGCCCAATGGGGTAGGTCGAGAAGAAGAATTATTATTTTTTCTTTCTTTTTGTCAAATTATTTTATTTATCAATTTTTATTGTATATATTGACCAATATAAAGCATATTTTTTTTGAGTTATTGATAATCTATTTAAAATATAAATAGATTAAAATGAATAGTGAATAAATGATTATGAATCTCAAGAATTGTTTGAATAAAAAGTGACTTAACCAATTCCAACTGGTTCATAATTAGGATTAAATCCATCCATGGTCACTGTACTTTATGCTTAGTGTCAATATGGCCACTCAAATTAATTTTGAATCACCATGGTCATCCAACTTTACTTAACGTTGGGTCTAGCCACTCTATGATTTTGATTGAAATAAATTAAGTTTGATTACCAATATGAAACAAACTTATAAGTTGGACAACCTCTAGCAAAATCCTCTCCCCCTTCAACACTCAAGATATCCTCCTCCTTCCGTCGCCGCTCTCCGCCACTGTACTGCCACTTCCAGTCCGCCAATGCGATGGTGGGAGTTAGTGTAATACTAGAAACCCAAGGAAGTTTTCCAATCTGTGTAATAGTTTAATCTGAAACGCATGGCGTTAAAATGAGTAAAGGCTGACGGAAAAGCTTCGAGGAAGTGGTAGACGAAGGATTTTGCGTTTGCAAATCTCGTTGGATCTCTATCAAATGGGAGGATTTCAGATATTTCTTCTGTTGTCATAGAAATTTTTGTCAACTTTTCAAGATTATCTGCATTTAGGCCATCTCCATTGACAAGGGCATCCTTGATTTCTTTGTGCAAAACGCCAAGTGATTTGAGTACAATTGCTGTGTTTTGGGACTCTCTGGTGTCGAGAATGAAAATCTGGGAGGCTGGACGGATCTATCCCTTATCCTGATTGTTGAATTAATGTCTTCTCAAGGAGATTTTCGATTGATGGCAACATATCCAAAGAGAGCTTCAATAAGATGACCATCAAACTAGAATTCATGTCAGAAGAAAAATTCTGAAAAGAAATATATCAAAACAGAGAATTTTTGAGACAAAAGCAATAAAGAATCAATAGTTGAAAGAGCCTTGATCAATTTTATCCCCCACCATCGAATGTTTTGCATTTGGATTCACTTTATCCCAGTGCAGGGGCTTGAGTTTCACCTTTCCATTCCCATTGCAAGACCTCGACGCGCCTTCTCCCAACGAGGACGAGCGCTTACTGTCACTAGGCATTCTCGATGTCGGGGTTTCAATAATGAAACCGCACCACTTGCTTTAGGTGGTGGTGGTAGTGATGGCGGTGGAGAAGGACGTAAATTTGATGGAATGATTTCTTGGGTTCGTAGTAGGAAAATGCTATTTGTACATGATACGTTGCAAATCACGTTCCAATTAATTTTCATTACTTAATTTAAATGTGTCGTCTTAAATATCATTATGGCAAGTAAGGGTCATTTCCCACAGAGGATTGATTCAATTATGTCAATTGCGCACTAAAAAATAAAATTAATAATAATATACGAAATAGATTAAATGAGGATCGGGGGTGAGGTTTGGTTTGTTGAACTAAGGAAAGCGATAAATTTAAACTAGAAAAGACTTGAAATTTGAAATAAACAAATTGGTTCTTGATTGAATGTAAGAAAATGTGATTGGGGGGATATTTCGTCGCCACGAGAATGATTTTCAAATCAATTATCACAATAGATTTTCGTTCTCAAGATTAACAACAATTCGAGAATAATTACAAGCTCAATTACCTCAATCTCTTCTTACATGTTAGTCGAATAAAACAAGCTCTTTACTCAACCCTATTCATTAAACAACCTAGAAAAAGCTCTCTAAATTTAATTTAACAAACGCATTACAACAAAAGAGATGAATTGAATTAAGGGTAAACTTCCAAACTCAGTTTACTTAACTTAAGTATTAATCCACATACATTCAATTGAAATTTTTTCATAATCTATCGAAATGTAATTGCTACAAGATTTTAGAATCAATAGCTATTACGTACTACTAATCCCTAAATAACATTCATCGAAACAACTTAATCATTTAGTTGTGCACCTAAACAATCAAAAAGAACAAAATAAACATTTAACACAATGGATTAATCATTTTGTTTATTTTTATTATATATATATATAGAAACATCATCTTTCAACGTTTTCATGCTTTCTTTATTTTTTTCATCTTTTTCCGCATAATACCATCTAATCATCGTTCAAAATCGGGTTTTCACCTACACAATAAAAATAACTAAATTAAGTAATAAATCGCTAATGAAACTCACAAATATCTAAATTTAATTGTCCGGAATAGTGCAAAAATCTGTACTTATCAATGTACCGAAATTAACACTCCGGTGTACACTCCCCTTACATAAGGGGATGACCCACGACAATAAATAAATCGTAGGATTCTCCCATGTGAGGGGAGTGTACACCGAAGTGTCAACCCCGATGTACGTGTAGGAAAACTCTTTTTAGTATTACACTTAGTCTGACCATCTCATCAACTGTGGTGGTACGACAGCGGAATGTAGGGGTAGGGGAAGATTATGTTAGAGGTCATCCAACTTATAAGTTTTTTTCACATTGTTCATCAAACTTTAATATATTTCAATCAAAATCATCGGGTGGCTTGATTGAAACGTTATATGAAGTTGGGTGGCTATAGTGAGTTTTTAATCAATTTAGAAGATGACGTGACGCTAATTATAAGGTACAATGACCATTGATAAGTTTAATCCCATGTAGCTGCTAGCCAAACGTGCATTTAAAGTAGGACAAGAGGGTTTTTGCATATTATTATATCATTTAAATATATTTTCTTTAAATGAACGGTCGTCAGCGGTATAGATGGAGAATAAGAATTAGTTTTTCCTTTTTTTTTTTGTCGAATCTTTTTACTTATCAATTTTTATTTCTTTTTTTTTTTAATTTTTTTAATCATTTTAATTATTTGAAATGAGATAATATGTGAAGACGTTTTTGTCTTTCTTTAAATTGATCAAATATGGGTCAATAAGTGGAGTTGAGATCTGCAGTCCAATTTACACTTTACCCAATTAATTATTTATATGTCATTTTAAATCAACACGCCATCAACTTGGTAAGTTATTGGTGAAGTTGATGAGGGTAAACTTAAGATGAAATGTTAATTTAAAAATAATTTGTCGATAATTAACTGGGTAAAACAACAAATTGGACAATACATCTCAAAAGCAATAAACGACTTCTAAGACGTATAATTATTTCAATTTCCATTTTGTATAAAATTGGCCTATTTCTGCCGATGTTTCATCTATTACTTCTAACACAGTAACAAATTTATTAATTTTAAGAATTTTATATAAATTTACTAAAATCACAAAAGATTAAGAAGGGAAAAAATGGAGGAGGATTGCAAGGGAAAAGCCAAACGACTCGCGCTGTTGACACTCTGGGTGACCGCACCCTCACATGGCCGACGTGAGTCTTTCATGAATAAAATAATCTCAACCTTCCATGTGTGTATTATGTCAACCATGTGGTCACTAACATGGGCTATGTAGCTCGATCCGGATTGCAATGCCCCAAAAGGAGAACAGCAAATGGATAATTTTGTCAATCAATCTTCGTCCTTTAGAGAATATCAAATGTCAATTGTCTGTTGGTGAATTGAAGGATCACATGGTAAAGTTGTTTGCTAAATGAGATAAAAGTCTTCATAGATATCGTTTCACGTGAATGATTTTCAATAACATGACTACTACTTTTGGTGACTTGGCAAAATAGAAATTCGAAAAAGGAAAATTTCATAGCTATAATAGTAAGTATATATCTTTGAAATTAATAAGTTTGTAAAAAAAAAAAAAAATTGAAAAAATAGTTGATATGTGATTGTGATCCATTCTGATAAATGATTGTGATTTATAAATTGTGTGATTGTGACTTCGTATAGATGTATGATTTTGATATAATTTATATGTGACTTGTTAGTTACATTCATGTGAGCATCTGATTTTTTACAAGAATATGTTTGACACGTGTTTATTGTTATATTCAAATCAATCTGTATTCATCGGTTTTTCAGTTTTACAAGTACTATTTACTTATTCATCAATTTATCAAATATTTTAAAATTGACAAATATTTATTCAATTTGGCTACGAATATCAACTCTGTTACAATATTTAACATCTTTTCAACGTGGTAAGCAAATTTTTTAACATGAACTTGCTATGATGTTGATCTGCTAAATTGACTGATCAACGATTTATATTTGTGCTTGGGAAAATTTTGATGTTGAAATGGAATTTTCAATCAGGATCCGTTTGATTGTAAAGATGGAATTGAATTGAATTTAAAACGAATTCCAGTGAATTCAATTACCTAAAAATTGTTTTTTTGGAAATTGTAAATTATTGTGTTTCATTGGTATAATTTTCCACGTGGAAAATGTTGAAATAAAAAGTATTTTTGATATTCGTTTGGTTTTGTTTTACATGAAAATTGTCAATTAAAGTGATAAATTTTACTGGTATTGGTGATGAAATTTATTTCCATTGCCAAAAAAATAAAAATTCAAGAAATTCAAGAAAATCATCTATTTTTTGGTGTTCGTTTGGCTTTATTTTATATGAAAATTGTTAATTAAAGGGAAATAACTTTTTACAATAATTCTTAAATTTTGTTTTCATTGCCAACTAAAAAAAAAGTGTTCGTTTGGCTTTATTTTATATGAAAATTGTTAATTAAAGGGAAAAAACTTTTTTCAATAATTTTTAAATTTTGTTTTTATTGCCAAAAAAAAAAAAAAAAAAAAATCACTACGGTGGCCTGGAATTCAAATTCTCACCATGTGACGAGAATTCGAATTCCATGAAAACATGGAAAATTGCTAGTTCCCAAGAAAAATAAGAAAACTAATTCCTTGAAAAAAAAATGCTATCAAACAGCAAAAAAGATGGAAAATGAAATTGATTTTTCATTTTCCATGAAAAACTTGGTACAATCAAATAGGGCCTTAGTGAATTTTTATTCATACACAACTTTCTGCATGCCAAAACGCACAATTAAAGCACAACTACACAAATAATAAGGTATCCTCAATGTATATGTAACTTTCATCTCTCATGTAACATATTGTGCTTATTTACGTGACAGAATAGTTATTGGCGACCAATATGAATTTTGAACTTTGGCCCCTTTTTGGTTGGAATCAAAATTAATTTTTTATTGATTTTGATATATTTTGATAAAATATATGATTGAAAAATTATGAATATCATAAAATATGTAGTTAAGATTAATTGCTGACTTTGACTTAAATCTCTAGGGGTTTGGAAGCAAAAAAAGTTTAATAACTAAAATGAAACCTCACTCAAAGTTAGGTGACTTTTAGCGTTATTTACCCTTCATCTTTGACAAATTTGCCTGCAATCCGTAATACCCAAAGTACCCCTACCGCTTCCCATTCACAAAAGCTGGAAAGCAACCTTCCATTGAATAGACTCCTAACATTCTCTCAATCTCTCTTTAATGGATGAAGGAGCTCAGTCACTAGCTCAATCTCAATCACCCTCCAATAATTGTAGCAGTCACGTGACCTCAACTCCCGAGCACGTGTCAGATAGCGGATTCTCAGCTCCGGTAGAGGCGATTTTCTCCGGCGGATCGAGCTACGGAGCGAAGTACAGGCTTATGTCTCCGGCGAAGCTTCCGATCTCCAGGTCAACTTGTATTACTATTCCTCCTGGACTCAGTCCGACGTCGTTTCTCGAATCGCCCGTTCTTCTCTCGAACATCAAGGTCGCTGTTGCCTTTTTACTAATCGAGATTAATTTTTACACCTTTTTCTTTTTGTTTGCTGATTTATGGAGAAATTGTTCGAGTAGTTTCTTGGAAGATTCAGATTCGGTTTCGATACCCAGTCTGTGTATCAAGGTACTGCTGCGTTAAATGTTGGGAACAAAGCTGCTAAAGTAGCAAAAAGATTAGGAAATTCCAACCTTTTCTGTTACAGCCGTGCTTGGTAGACCCATCCTTGTAATCAGCTCGTAATGCATTTCTAAGGAGAGAATAACCATGTACTTATAAGGAAAAAAAAAAAAAAAGCTTCTACCGGAGTTAGCTCTCCCCAGGTAGCTTCATCCATAGCGAGTTATGGGAATGTCTAATTATCACTAATTGACTACATTGCGTATAGTTCAGTTTTAATACTGGCTTGTATCGAGCTGGCGTTCCGCCAGTTATAACCTCACAAGCTATACTTTTATCTTAACGTCCATGTGGGATGCAATTAGAGTTGTTACATTTTTTTCAATGGAATTGTTAATTATTGATAGGTGGACTATTTTGGAATAAATTATCTGGTGTGTTGTTCACTTGTTCTTTATTTAGTGAAATGCAGATTTACAGTATTTGTAATTTAAGGTGCAAATTCAGAGCCAGTACTCGAAACCTATGGAGGCAGAATATAACATGGGGAAAAAATTTTCAAACACAAAA